GTCAGGTAGATCTTGGCCCCGTTGTGATCGTACAAATACACGCACGGGTCTGACTTGAGTGCGACGAATCCAACCTCGACGAGCACGGGATCGATGGTGTTGAACCAGTTGCTTGGGCTTTGAGCAAGTCCGTAGAGACTCTTATTCAGCTTCATTACCATGTCACCTCCATCCTTGTCCTTGACCTCGAAACCGGGTGGTTGTTCCACGAACACTTCTTCTTGGATGTCCGCGTAGAGGAAAGCGGTAGAAACATCCATCTGATCGAAGATGAGGTTGAACTCAACTGTGATGCACGCCACCATTCGCACGCTCTGGATCCTGCACACTGGAGCGTAGGTGCTGCCGCAGTCGAGTCCGGGAACTTGGTTCCAACCCTGGGCCACGACACGTCCCTTGAAAGTCCCGTCGGCCTTGCGTTTGAACACCCACTTGGACTTGATGCGCTTCCTTTCCGGAGGGACGGCCGAGCGCGGGACGAGCTTGTAGACCTTGCGGTCGCTGAGGCTTTTCATCTCGCGTTCAGCGGCTGCGTTCCACTTCGTTGTGTCCGGTGAAGCCCGTGCTTCCTGAATGGTTCTAGGAACGTCTGGTTGTTCTCCCCCTACGGTGTATGCGTATTCCGTGAAGCCCAACGTGGCGTCCCGAGCCACGCCCACCACGCGTAGATGCACCACGCGAAGAGCCACCGCGGGCGTCACTGCCACCACGAGATGAACCACGTCCACGCGCAGAACCACCCCGCGATGCAGCGCCAACTGGAGCAGAACCAGTACCCGACGCTCCAGGCGGCGTCGCAGGACTGGATGTTGAACCGGCCGGAGCAGGAGCAGACAACGATGCGGCCGGTGATGATGCACCGTCACCCGGCTCAGGAGGGCTGACTCCTCCAGGCGAGGCAAGGCTGTCGTCCGCAGGCGCATCCTCTGCGGCAGGAGCAGGGTCTGCGGAGTTGGTCCCAAGGTCACGGTTGTGGACGGTGGAGATGTCCTCGAGAAGCTCGAGAACAGACGGATCCCCGACGGCATGAGTGGGAGAAAGCGCATCGACCGAGTGGTTGGTGGTGTAGTTGCGCACATCTCGGATCATGTCGTCGTGGTCGGCGTAAGTGAACTCCCCGTCGTCAAACCCACGCTCGTCCAACGAAGGCGGCGCGGGGGTCGTTTCGATGAAGATAACGTTGCGACTCTCCCGCACCCGTCTCGTCTGAGCGTTATAGATACGGTAGGATTTGCTGTCCAGGCTGTAGCCCACCAACCGTCCTTCCCATGCACGGCTGTCCAATTTCTTAGTGTGCGTCTCTTCATGCACAAACGCCCGTGCCCCGACCACCCGAAGGTGTCCAAGGTGCGCGTCCGTGCCAAAGAGCGCCTTGTACGGCGTTCCGTTGTGCAAGGCTGCATGAGGAGTCCGGTTGCTCAGGTAGACCGCCGTCTGCATCAGTTCTCCCCAAAGAAGGCTCGGCAGCGTAGAATCAGCGAGCATGCAACGCACGATGTTCATGATCGTTCGGCCGGCACGCTCATTCGCTCCGATCTGATGGGGGGTGTTTGGAGACGCAAATTGCAGCTGAATGCCAACGTCCAGGCAGTACTGTCGGTAAGCCGCGTTCGTAAACTCGGTCCCCTTATCCGCACGTAGCACATGGATGCGTGCGCTACGGGGGATGACGGTTCCCTTGTTGAACAACTCGAGGGCGTCAATTGAGCAAGTCTTATCCTTCATGAGAACGACCTCCTTCCACTTGGTGTGTTGGTCGACAAACTTGGTGGCGTATTTGAAACCGCCCAACGCAGTAGGCGTGAAAGGGCCAAGGGTGTCAACGAAAACGAGCTGAAAGGGGGTTGAAACGCCGTAGACGGCGTGCTTGGGGTGCGGCTGTTGAGAACTCTTACCAAGAGGGCACGCACTGCAGTCCTGCACGTCGCCACGGTAGTCGATGCCGCTGGCCGCCTGCTGCCTCAACACATCCAAGCTCTTGTTGTTGATGTGCCCCATGCGCCGGTGCCAAAGATCAGCAGTCTCCACCCTCAAGGCAAGTCCGTCAGGAGTCTCCCCGGGGGTCTGTCGACCGCCATTCTCGGCGCCGAGCTTGATGGTGATGGAGCAAGTGATCTTCCCGGTGTTATCCACTCCTTGGATTTTCATCGGTACGACTGCGTCCGCCGATTCCAGCCTGGGGTTGTCCGGATAAAAGAGGGATGCCACGCCGTTCGACAGCGCAGCGGTGACGGAGAAGAGGTTGGTCCCCAGTCCCGGAACTAACACGACACGAAAAGAAACTTGCCTGTCCTGGCCGCTGTCGTCAGTGACCGTGCCGAAGAGCACCCCCGTCGTAACGCCGTGAAGAACGTGCTGCCCGGCGGTAATGATCGGAAGCGGAATCCGAAGGTCTTCGATGTCGCGCATGTGAGCCCGTACGCCAGGCGTAAGCGCAGGATCGAGATAGTTGTCCGTCGCTCCGCTATCCACCAACATCAGGATAGACGATCCATCGGAGCGAGGAAGAGCCGGGGACGTTTCCTCCGCAAAAGAGGCCATAAAGGCACCGAAGTACCCAGAAGGCAGGTGGTGGTCCCGCGCAGGAGATGCGGACGAGGCAGACGCGGAAGCCGCCTGCGAGGCGGCAGGGGCTGCAGAGGCGCCGAGAGCGTTGAAAGAGAACCCGAACGTGGTGGGTTCCGAAGGAGCCTGAGACGCCTGGGGCGCTGCCGCCTGGGGCGCTGCCGCCTGAAACGGCTGCGCCAAGTGGGCGCTCCCAAGGTGGGCGAAATTGGCCGGGCCAGCTGCCTGAAGCAGGGCCAGGTTCGCAGCCAATCCTTGAAGCTCCTCTTGTTTCTTCTTGTGTTGAGCCTTGCACTCAGCATCGCTGTGCGTCGTCGTCCTGTGGAAGGAGCACCACTTGGACTGCCCAGTCCCGCCACCTCCGCGCTTCTTGCGCGGCTTCGGCTTCTTGCCTTTCCTTGCGCGGGACGGCGGCGCAGACTTCGGACAGTCACGCTGGAAGTGCCCAAACTCCTTGCAGCGGTGACACTGGTCGCTGCTGGATGCGGCCATCGCGGCTCCCCTGCCCGAGACCGCGGGTCCCGCCGCCTTGCGCGACTGCTGGTCCACAAAGAAGCGGGTGGCCGTGTCCTGCAGATCGTCGACCGACGTAAACTCGTTGCGGTAGTGCATCTCCCGGATGAAGTGGAACTCCGGGACGGACGTCAGGCCCGAGAGCGTGATATCCAGGTAGACGTCGTCGGATACTGTCTCCCCCAGTGTCTCAAGGCGGAGCCTCAGCTCGCACGCCTTGGAGAAGAAGTCGATGGGATCGCCACCCGCAACGTGCTTGAGGCCGAAGAGATCCCGGTGGCACGCACGCCGAGCTTCTTGGGTGCAGGCATCAAACCGCGCGTTCAGAGCTGCCCAAGCTGACTGTCCGTTGCCGTCGGTGCTGGTGCCCGCATTTCGGTGAGCCTGGACGGTGAGCCGCGCCGAGCTGGAAGTCGCGAAGAACAGGAGAGAGTAGAGGCGGCTATTGGCCTTGTCCCAGGCGGCAACGTCGGCCTGAGTAGCCGCCAGAGGGTCCGGCCGAGCCGATCCGCGCAAAACCGTAAGAAGCTCTGATGCATGGATGTTGATGACATGCTCAAAACTCTCCTTCCACACGCGAAAATTAGACCCAGAGCATTGTCCTATCGAATCCAGTAAGCGGTGGAGCCCAGAACTAGAGCTTAACGAGTCCGCCATAGCCTAGAGACAGGAACACTCGATGGGTGTCTTGAAAAGTCCTGCACCCGCAAGACGCCCGGATCACCTGAGAAGGGCCGGCGGGCCGGGAGTGTGCGGTGCAGGTCTACTCAGGGGTAGAGTGAAAAGTAGGCCGCAGAACCGGAGCTCGCGACCCGTGTCCGCCGGAAGCTCGCAAGCGTCCGCCCGGACGACTGCGCTCTCGTGAGCACAGTTGTGACCAACCGCAGTTGACGAGGCTGCGGTGATGTGGCGAGTAGTCAGCTCCGGCCACTTAACTGGTCCTGCAGGTACACAGCGAGGTGCACTGCGTAGTGTCACGCGTCTTTCAGCGCACACTGTACGTGAGCTAGCACGTGTATAGCTGTAGCAGCGGCCGGCTACCAGCTAGCAGTCGTATCCTCAACCTACACACGCGACCAAGCCGGCAACAAGGTATGTGGAAGGTGTCTTGGACAGACTACGCCTCGTGTAAAGTCTAAACGCAGGCGATTTGGTATTCGGAAGTCAGTCGCAAACGCGCGGAACCGAGTATAAAAATAACGGCACTCCGCACGCAGAACCAACAACCTGCACAACTCTATTCACCGACCGGAGTCAGCGCCTAGAAATTGCGCCCCCGAATGCTTTACACAGACAGTTGCGTACCGAATGCGCAGCCGAGAGTCCAGGTGATCAGTCCGGGCCCAATAAGCAAGCGGGTTGACTCAATGTGTCCTCCAGCAGAAAACTGACTCCAACAGCAGTAGTAGCTCCCCGCGGAAAGAGTAGAATCTAAAGATCCTGGTGTGCGTGCCTCACAGCAGTCCTCTGCGACAGTGGAAAGAGTCGCAGCCGTCGCGGACCTCCACTCACACACACACGAGGCTACAATAACCTATTATGGATATTGTGGTATACCCCAGCAAGGTGGCAGAGAGGCTGTGTCCTTGACGCTAATCAAGTTGGTGACACTAGTGTAGTGGACGCCCTGGAAGACGTGAGTGCTTCCGTGTGATGAAGAAGGTGACAAGATGTTGTAAACACTGGCGCTTATNCAACAGCAGTAGTAGCTCCCCGCGGAAAGAGTAGAATCTAAAGATCCTGGTGTGCGTGCCTCACAGCAGTCCTCTGCGACAGTGGAAAGAGTCGCAGCCCTCGCGGACCTCCACTCACACACACACGAGGCTACAATAACCTATTATGGATATTGTGGTATACCCCAGCAAGGTGGCAGAGAGGCTATGTCCTTGACGCTTATCAAGTTGGTGACACTAGTGTAGTGGACGTCCTGGAAGACGTGAGTGCTTCCGTGTGATGAAGAAGATGACAAGATGTTGTAAACACTGGCGCTTATTTGGCCAACAAACACAGATAAAACCGCAGAGTATGCAGGAGTCCAGAAGATGGCTGGGTACTGGAGATGACCAGGATGGCTACGATGCCAGACAATCAGGAAGGATCCACACGAGAGAGTGAGCTACTCGTCAAGGCAACATAGAATCCTACAGAACTAATTCATCCGCATATACACTTCTCCCTTCTTCCCCTCGCTCCTCGACAAGCTTTTGCTTAGACATGG